GTGAGCACACACACACTTGCATGCACAGACTGACATATTTTTGCCAGCACGCATAGAAACATCCATACACTGTCATGCGCACATACACACGCTTGCACAGTAAAGTATACACAGACATGAGTTCATGCACTGGCAGACACACACACACACACACCCACACACACAGCCCCAGCTCCACATCTCTCTCTGTACCGCAGCAGGTGGTCCTCTCTCTAGCTGGGGCAGGTTTTGGCGGAGTAGAGGCAGTTTGGCAGTGTGTACTGCAGTCAGCTGAAACACATCTTTGGCTGGAGAGTTCAGGCTCTTGATCGTGAGCCTGTGTGAAACCGCGGCCCGTGTAGAGACCAGACCGGCCACTGCACACTAGGGCAGGGGTACACTCCCAGAATCAGGGCTGTGCCTCAAACTGAATTTGGGTCGTGAACATGTCACATCCCTCGAGGAATTACCAACGCAGTGTTATACTTAGAGTCCCAACCAACCTCTCTCAGAGCAGAGAGTCTGCAGGTGTAGAACATAAACAAACATACTGAACAGATACCAGACTTCACCCGCCCAAACACCTCACCACAGGTGTGTTTTACGGCCAAAACTTGCTAATCTAATAGTGGAAGAATGAGGTTGAAGACTGTGGGCAGTAGATATTATGAGGGGATGGGGGTGGGGGGGCCGATGTGGGATCTGCTGTTCTCCGTCGCTCCCACCCAGTTAGCTCCATCGCTGAAGTTTGGGGTTCAGTATGTTACATTTATGGGGATGGGGGGGTAGGGGAGGGTGATTGAGAATTTGGGCCCCCCCTCCCCCTCCAACCTCAGCCTTGGAACCCCCGCACCAGAGCTCAGGAATCCGTCCATACTTAGCGCCCTTGGCTTCCGTTTGGGCCCGTACCTGTGTTAGTTCTGGCCAGCCCGGAGGGTACTGTGTTGTTTTTCGCCAGCAATGAGTGATGTCATAGCTGCTAATGATGCTAATGTTATTACCGCTGTAGTTTTGTCTGGACGGCGGTTTCGGGAAACTGCAGCCGAGACGGAAACTGCAGCGGGTCCCCGCGGGGTGTTTTGAGAGGTGGTGGGGCTGCGTTAGGAACACCGGACGATGGCTTTTTGACCTCTCTCATTTCTCGATTGCTTGGGATAGGGAGGCACATAAAAAAACATGGGGGCTATATTTCAAAACAACCAAGCTTCGCTTTAACGAGGCAGTCCGTGGATTTTGATTTATGGCATGAATGGACGGCTTCTCTCCATGGTTAGAAACGACCCTCCCTCCCTCACTGACTGAATTACATCCCTTGAGAAATCTGAGAATAATAGTATTACGCAGTCAAACAAAGATATCCATCTTCACAGACCTGCTTTCTAAAAAGACTTGAGCCGGTTGTTTAAATTATTTCCTGAGACGATTAGGAAGATCGTACGATCAGAAACCTGTTTTCCTCGAACCCTGTATTTCATTCATGCACTTTTAATCCAGTTATATGACTGTTTCGCTAGTTTTAAGTTTGCTGTTGCCAGGTTGGACAGTGGCTGGACAGACACAGTAGAAAAATTGTTTTAGTTTGGAGAAAACAGTGTGTTTTCTGGCTTCAATGTTGAAGTCTCATTTTTATTTCATCTCAAGCAGAAAATATTAGCTGCCCAGGAACTAATAAGTACCGTATGAATATTAAATGGAAGGATGAATGAATGAAATACTTATGAATAACTTATTTTTTGGTTTTTACAATAGAGGTACTGAAACAAGGAGTGAGGCCTAACTGAGATCCTCGAGTATCTCTCTCTCTCTCTCTCCTCCTCATACTTACTAAGTTTATCTTTCTCACACCCTCTCTCTTCCTGGGACTGTCCTCTCTCTCCCTCTCTGTCTCCCTCTCACACTCTCTCTCTCACTCTCTCCCTCTCTCTCATTCTCTCTGATTTTTTTCTTTCTCTTTCACTCTTCCTCTGTCACTCACTCACTTTCTCCCTCTGTCTCTATTGTCATTGCCATCGGTTAGTGAGGACAGACGATAAATGACTGAAAACCTGGCAACCCTTCTTGGCAACATGTTTCCTTAAAGAGCATCTAAAGTCGATTCCCATTGTTTTTGTTTATCCGTCAATCAGCAAGTCGCACCTGTGCAAATGAACCGAAATAGAAGGATTATCTACACATGTCCACAAAGCATTGGTTTATATGAATGAAATTGGTCATGTGACAATGCAAGATGTCAACAAGAGCATTTGATTTGTTTGTAAACATTGGACGTTCAACGTCCCGTCTAAGAATTGACTTTAGATGCCATTTAAGGTGCTGCCAGGTAGCTGGGGTAGAAGTGGGCGGGGCCACTCACCCCCAATGTCAAGGCCCACACTGTGCTGCTTTTGCCTGGGGGGGTGAGGGGGGGCAGTAAGGTGTTCTCTTGCAGAGCAGCCTATTTCCCCAAACACCCCCCGCCCCCCCAACTGTGAAAAATAGAGCCATTGAGGGGGACTGCAGGAAGATTAGCTTTGCTTGGTGTGCCGGAGAAGGAGCATGTGAGGGGGTGGGGGGGGGGGCGAGGACGGGGCCTTGGCTGATGCCCCGAGGTACGCAGAGGGGGTGGACAGAATATCGGAAGCACCTCTGGAAAAAATGGCTTTGGCTTTGACGTTTCTTGACGGCGATTGCAAAAGCTTGACGGTGATTCCCTAGAATGCTAATTATCAGCATTTGTCTGCATAAAAGGGATAGAATAACAGCACTTTCTTGGGCAAGTATTCAAAGCAAAAGTAGGATACTGCCAGAGTCCCAAAGTGGCAAGTAGTTGGTGCCCCAATTACGGGTGCACAGGTCACAAAAAAATTCGACATTAATTTAGAGATGGCAAGGAGAACTGTGTCTGAGATTAAAACGACATATCAAATATTCCAAAAAGCAGAAATTGTAATGGTGGAAAAGAACTTTGGCCACAAATCAAAGCTCTCCATCAGGGACAGATGTACACTGAGTCGGGTATTTGTTAATAAGGAAGCACACAACTAAGCACTGAAAATCACCGCAGAATGGAATCAATCTATATCAGAACCAGTCTGAACAAAAACAGCACATCGTGAGCTTCACAAACCTGGCAATTAGCGCAGGTTTTCTGATTATTTGACCCAGCCCAGTACATTTACTGACCGCCACTGTCTGCTTCTCCTGGTGCATATTTTCAGGGTCATTCAAGTGAGTGTTTTGTTTCCCCACAGGAAGGAGGGGCAGTTATTATTATTGATTATGATCGTTATAGCCATGATTCTCTGATGACGGCTCTGGTCTTGCTGCTAACATGTGAAGCTTTATTGAGAGAGCTGGTTTTGCTGGCCTGAGGACAGCATAGCTAGGCTTTCACCAACATGAGATCACTTTACATAAACCTGCCAGTCCAGCGAAACCTGATCGAGGTGATCAATCACTCAATAACCTTCCTTCTTCGAGCAGCTCTCATCGATTTGATTTTTATGGACATTATGAACAAGATCAGCAAATCCATACCTTTACAAGCTAGAAGCCCACACATAAGAGCCTTTCGATTTTTGAACACAGGCTCGCTCCATTCGGCGTGACGGTAATGCATTGGTTAGCAATTTTTTCCGCACAGCAAGAAGGTTGTGGGACTAAACAGCCTGGTCCTTGTGCAGTCTTGCACACTCTGCCTGTGTCCGCATGAGTTTGCTCCAGATACTCCTGTTAGCCTATCCAGTAGGTATAAATGTGTGTGAATAGTGTGTGTATGTGTGTGTGTGTACGCCCTGCGATGGACTGGCAACCTATCCAGGGTGTGTTCCTGCCTTTCTCCCATTAGATGGAGAACAGGATCACAGGATCGGTCCTTTGGGCTTGAAGTCAGCTTCAGTATGGCTCGTCCTCTAAGCAAATGAGAGACACAAACTTCCCGACTCGTTTGCAAAATCACCCCTTATTTTGTCCAAATAACTCAATAGCTTAAATAAGCCAGTGGCAATACACTGGACCATGAAAGATCAAATATGTGGTGTTGCTAAAAAAAATTTTGGGGAATTAGTTATTGGCTGTGCTTATTTTCTCTGTTGATGATACCATTGACTCGCATTGAAACGGGTGGCTGAAATGCCTATTCTGGAGCCAGCAGCCCTGGTGCTTGCAGTGCTTCTCAACAAGGCTAGGAAATGAGCCATTTGGTGCCTGACCAATGATTGGGAGTAGCACAACTTGTTCTCTTGTCAAGTACTTTGAAAGCAAAATATCAAGCTTCCTCTGTACTCATGTGCAGTTGTGTGTGAGAGAGAGAGAGAGTATGTCTGAGTGTCTGTGAGTCTGTATGTGTTTGAGTGTGTGAGTTATGCGTGTCTGTGAGTGCATTGGCATTCATTCAAGTCTTCTTGCATCCTTGTGTTCATAAATTCATACAGTAGTGTGCAGTGATGATTATACACTTAAAGGTCCCCTATTATGCCACCAGGTTCACAGCTAATTAGCCATTATGAGCCAGTTCAAAGTCTCCCCTACCTGACATCACATGGGGGAGTGACCACCCAGAATAATGAAATCTGATTGACTGCTTGGCTGAAGGTGATCAGTTCTTCTTGCCTCCGGTTGGTTACTTCCACATGTGATGTCAAGAGGGAAAAGATTTTGAAACGGCTTGTAATAACTAATTAGCTGTGCACCTGGTAACATAATAGGGGACCTTTAACAAAATGAAGATAAATCAGAAATCAAGTACTATCTGTCCAAATATTTATTTCAGGTAATATTGAATCATGTAGATGAAAATAAGTAAACAGATAACAATATACAGTAAAAACAAAATAATCATGTCTTTATGAGAGAAAAAGTCAATATCTAGTGTGGCCACCCTCCAATAGACATGTGCCCCCGGGGTCCCACAGGACCTTGATCCTGGCCTGAATATCACCACCTCCATGTTTTACTGAAGGGGTTAAACATTTTGAAATGTTCTCCAGCTCTCCAGCCCACATTAGCCCTGTGTGTGGGTGAGAAATGTAGAATTTTGGGACGCCCTGGTGGCTCATCGGTCTGAGCGCGCGCACCATAAAGGCCTGCGGCGACTTGGTTCGATTCCGGCTCGGGTCATTTGCCGCATGTCTTCCCCCATTCTTCTCCCCAACTTTCCTGTCTCTCTCTACTGTGTGACTATCAAATAAAGGAGAAAATCTTAAAAAAGAAATGTTGAATTTTGACTAATCGGTCCAAAGGACTTGTTCCCAGTTCACTGGTGTCCAATCCTTGAATTTCTTGGCAAACTCAAGTCTTTTTTTATGTTGCCAGCTCTTGGCAGCAACATGACCGATCAGACCATTTTCACACAGGCGTCTGGAAATAATAGATCTTGATACTTTCATCTCTTCACATCTGGTACTATTAATATCATCAGGGAGTTGTCGTGCTGTCAGCTGCTGATTTTTTTTTTTTTTTTTTTGAACTTGTCGTACACAGATAACAGACATCAGAGGCCGTTTTCAGCGAACTGGTCTCTTTGAAATCTTGACGGTGCTTTTTACAGTGCCATGACGGCATTTAGCTAACGTCTTCAGCATCATGTAAGGCTACAATGCGGCTGCGAACAATCTCGAGACCTCCTTTCGTTGTGCCATTGCATTTAACACTGTGACACTGCTCAAAGTTCATGTCCCCTTACATACTGGAACAACTGACCATCAGAGGTAATTTTGCAGAATAATGTCGCCTCAAACCAGTTTAAACAAATTTTTTTGCATCAATAATCATGGAATGAGCCTTCAATCATGCATTCAGGCTATGCAGGAGTCAAAAAAATGCAATTTGCGACACCTTTCAATTGCTACAAAAAATATGTTTCCAGTGTATTGTTTATTACCCATATTTTTTAGCTCAATTTTCTTGTGGGTTGTTTTTGCTCTCATTGCCTACAATCGTATTTTTCTATACATTTTCACCAAAAAATTATAAAGAAGTAGGACCCCTTTTAGATTAAAGTGGTGGTGAATAATCATCACTGCACACTACACTGCCCTACAAATCCTAAGTGCAGTAACTACATATTGGGTAAAATGTGAGTTACACAGTTTTGGGCCTGAAAGTATATGGAGGTCAGGATTTATTCGGACAGAAATTATACCTTGGTAAATCGGTTAACCATAATCTATCATAGATGTGCTAACTATTCATTTATTGGGACAGCAAATAAACTTTGAGGCCATTTTTTACTGTTGAAATTATTGCGTAGTTACTGCACTTAACCTTTGTAGGGCAGTACAGTATCTCTGAGTTTGTTGGCGCAAGTCTGTGTCTGTGGAAGCCTTTTGGGAATTTTGGGTCAATATTACCACTGACCCACATACTCACAGACTCTCCACTCCATGCAGAACTGTGTGCAGAGAGAAGACGTGCTGTGCTGGGTTTGCCCTTCTCTCCGTGGCTCTCCTTTTGACACGCTCGCTGGACCGTATTTGTGAGCAGTCCACTGTTAGACCGGTTTTAGCCGCAGGGTTAATTACTGACTGGGAGAGTGTTGTTAACCACTCAGATTTCAGTCTCCATACTTCTGCTTGTGAGCCTCTGTGCGGCTGTTTATACCCTTTGACCCTCTGACTGCGCCGCCGCACCTATAGACAGTACAACTTAGCGGAAGGTAACTTTCTGAACTGTTGTTCGATTGCACGCATTAGTCATCCTTAGCAGGGGAAGCTTAGTCAACTATGTGTAGCAGCCGAGTTAATGGAAAGCAGTCAACTGTATGGAGAAGTCGTCTTCAATAGAGCAGTTACCTACAAAGCAGTCATCCCCAGGGTTAGGAATCATCTACAGAAAAAATGACCAACCATCCAGAGAGCGTATTCTGCGAAGTTCAGCTGCCCAATTTGAGCAGTCACAAAGCTGAAGAGCATCAATGTCAGGCAGTTGTCTTCAGGGAGAGTAATTGCCCACAGAGAGGTCACCCACTTAGAGCACTCACCCACAGAGATGATGGTCACATACTGGGTAGTTGGTCATTGTTGTGCGGAGGTTGTCCCACTGTGGGAAAAACAGTACTTTCAGACTCAGAAAGAGTAATTGTGCCTTTACTTGAGGCTCACCTTTGGTTTTGCACCTGTGGGGTTGTACTTTTGAGACACTCTTAGTGGCTGCACACACAGAAGACGCTTTATCAGCATTTGGTGCCTTTTTATTATGTTCAGTGATTTGGAGTGTTTTCAATGCTGCTTTTTCACGCCAGGCGCCTCACTATTTTTAGGTGTGCATTGTTTGAAAAACATTCCTACTTTGAAGTGCCGCGATAAGAAAGCATCCAGCATCACAAGCAATCTGTCCAGTATCTGTTGTAATGGAAAAGCTAATATGTTAGCATGCTAAATACACTTACTGCCAACACTTACCTGTGCAACAGGAGACAGTCTACGGTGTTTGCATCATTGAAAAGTTGATGTTTACAAGCATTTGATGCTGAGTTTGGCCAGAATTTTTATTCGGCCAGTTTTATTATCCTTGTGCTTCAAGTTATTAAGCTATCTGTACTTTCTGAAAGTATTAGACTCACTTAGCAAGCCAGCTAACAAACATTTTCCTATTATATCCGCATGTGCCTCCAGGGTTTAACCTTTTTTAAATGTTTCGTGCATCATACGTATAGAAAACCACTTCCAAGGATCTATTTTATGAATTTTATATCTTTATTTACATTTTGTAACAAATTCCACGAGAGCTGCTGCAACTGTGTTCTCTACCACTTTTGTTTAAAATGGACGCCTGGTTACTGTGTCTGCACTGGATTGTGGGATAGATATTGAAGCAATAATTCTACCTTCATGACCTGCGCACTGGTATTGGCAGAGGGCTACACTCCCATAACTCAAAGGTTGACACTCAGAAACACCTTCTATAAAGTAAAATAACAAAATACAGGCGGATGGCAGGGTCTCTGGTGCTACAGACACTGCCACACACTTCTTGTGGGTCATAAGTGTTGATTGAGAGGGATAATTTCTGTATGAGTCTATACATAATTTTAGGAAAATCCTAATCTATATCCCTTCAAGAATGTTGGCTATGTGACTGACTGGAGCATTAAATATGATCCGCAGAAAAGCAAGTCGAGCGTATGCTTCAAAATTCAGGGCAGATAAGCACTGGGTTTCCTTGCCAATAAAGCACATTTGGTGTGAACCGTTTTCTCCAGATGGAGTTTGTATCTGGTGTGCAGCGGAAAACAGAGGGTACAGCATGAGTACACCCTGTAGCAGGAAATACGAGGGTCATTAGGAAGCGACAATTGGAGGGGAAGTTTTCAAACAGGGCAGGAGAGCATGTCTGGGGGACTAATGAAACATTTTCCTATCTTGTACAATGTTCATACCTGGCCCAGAATGCACCATCTGTGGGGCAGACATTCACTTTTGGGATTTCAAAACCTAACCCATTGGATAGCCACACTGGTGTTCATTGTGCTTATATTTACTGCTGTTAGGTACTGACTGACATGTAAAGTTCCAAGGCTGCTATTTTGCTAAAGCAGCCTGGGCTTGCATAAATCAATAGTATTCCTGATGGAGCCCCAGTTTAGGAACAGCTCTTTCTGGTCCACAGCCATACTACCCATCAGTAGATAAAAAATGAAACCGATCCTGTGCTGAGGTGCTTGAAAAATACAGACCTTGGCCCACTCCTTAATTCTCTGTATTACCGGCACACACACACACATACAGTGGAAGTTGGAATTATGACATCACCAGAAGGGGAAGATCTGAGGTGTTTACTCTTGATCTGTCACCCGCCTTTACGCAGTGCACCCACAGACCGGCCCTTGATGCGGTCTACGTTTCAGTCACTGTGTACTGTCGCGGTGCTGGGCCCTCTCGTCCGCCTTTATAAGGAGGCGTTGAGAAGGTTTGCACGAGTCGACTCTGGGATCCCCCCTCCCTCCGCCTTCCCTCTGGAAGATTACACTCTTGACAATGGGGTGCATTGATTGGGCCACGCGGGAGGGGTGAAAGGTCAAAGGGCAGGGTTATGTGCGGGGGGGTGGTTTCCTACAGGAGAATAGCAGTCCTTGTTCCTGGAGTTGACCCCTAAATTATCGCGGGCCCCATTGTCTGGGTCACTCTTGCACTTAACCACTGAGCACCCAAAGGCCCGTTTCTGCGAGTTTGACGCTCACTCAAACCCTAATCTTCTGCTGAGTTCGCCCATCTTCGTCCCGCGTCCTCATCTTTATTACCATCTGGGAACAACGCGTCTTTGTTTACCGCACAAGCGACCGAGAAACTGCTTGGGAAAGCAAAATGGAGAACATTTTTTCCCATCGTTTTTACAATCGAGGCACTTCAGATGGTGACCGAATGACCGCGAAAGCGCCGTCACTTTTTATTTGAGGCGTTTTGTCTCTTCCACTCCGTTACGGTCGGTCGATTAGGCGCCGCATTGTAATCCGAGGCACATTACAGCCGAGTGTTTTACCGTGAAGACCGTTTACATCTGAAGTCCCTGAGAGCAGATGAAGACGAGTATGGCAGCTGTCCACACGTGATTGGTTAATTGATATTATTTGATGATGTTAATGAAAATCAGCAGAGAGGATTCATCGAAGAGATGGAATAGTGAACATCTCTCATTGCTGACTATAAAAACTATCGAGGATAACACAAGCAGGTTACAAAGTTTATTTATTATTGTGGTTGATGTCTCCCAAAGCTTCTCAGCTTCCTTCTATAGAGTTCATGAGGGCTGATTACAGCTTGACTATGGTGACAACATCACTTGAGTGCTTCAAAGCCCCTGTACAATCTGATCTGATGCATGAAATGGGAGGCTGTTCAGAAATCTCTCAAATGGTCGCCCCTTCGACGCCCCCCCCCCCCCCCCAACATCACTCAATGGCTCTATCTTCTGTAGACTTTATTGCGTTTCTCTGACAATGCCCATTCTCTCCACTTGTCATATCTTTCGCCCACTCCCACAATTTATCCTCCTGTTTCTTCTCATCTTTTCTTCCCTATACCCACTCCACCCCTCCCACTCCTTCGGTGGGTATTCTCTCCTCTTCTCTCTTGTCCGTCCCTTTGTTTTTCACTCTCACCACCTCCCTACTTCCTGCATCA